TATAATATTTATAATATAATCGGTGTATAAAGTCAGTGTTATGAACTTATAGGCACTCACACATTTTATACCTACGCGAGTAGCACCTTTGAAAGTAAGGGGTTTATTTTTTAGTACATGAAACACAGAGGGATGCATACCTTCAGTTTGCCATCTATCGGAATCCCTACGGAAGGAAATGTAGAGGAGTTTTCTGTGAGTTTTTCTTATCTCGCAAGTATGTATTTCTTGCTTTTCCAATTTTTACCATACCGAAAATGCAATACCTATCTCGGTTATATGCAAAATCGTCTCTACGTTGTATCCCATACACTGTACGATCTTATTGCTGATAAATTAAAAATGGGCCGTCCTGGTATACAATTCTAACATTGATCTGCTTCTCACATTTGTAGTCTAGAGACGAGCAGGCGCCGATGATGATCTTCTACAAGGCCACCGCACGGTTAAAGAAATGTGTGCGCTTGTTGGAATCGGCGACGCTGGAGCTCGAGCAGATACTCGGCATCGAAGAACTGCACCGATGTCAAACAGGTAAGCCGCAATGCTTGTGTATATCTTTTGCCTGGTGTATTGAAAGGGCTCAGATCGTGTGGTAACTCTAAGAATGTGCGTACTTTTCAGCTGTGTGATGTACAACCTGCATGATAGATAGTAGTTAGTGTTTATGATGAATGAAGGTATCGTTCTTGATTTTGGTTGGGCATTGACCCACTTTCAGGGATGCACGCTGGTGTGCTGCTGTCGAATCGTCCAATTATGTTCGTCACGGCACTCTCATATTGCAACATCTATTTCTGGGCGAAACTCTTTTTGTAAGCACTCATTCCGTTCAGCTTCTATGAACGTATCGAAAATTCAAAACATTTCGCAGTTGATGCGCACTAGTTATAGTCGGCGTATCCGAGCCACTTAATGCTTAATGCACTCTCGTTTCTATCACCACGCAGAGGTGTTGAATGCTCTGGAGATGGTATTTTCTATCAGCAATGACCCACGAGAGTCCAGAGACTACAGATTAAAGTTCTCCGCAGACGTACAGGAGGAGTTACAGCACACTTTATTATGGGGTATGCTGTATACCATTCACTGGTCGTCTCGAAGGTCTGCACCGTTCTTTGACACTCAAATCCAAGACGTTCTATTCTACTGTTCGTGTCTTGATATATAGGTATATACAGAGCTACACACAGCGTATTTGATGCTCATGCACCGTTTCACGTTTGCATCACACACGCAGAAACTTTATTGTTCGCTGCTGAACTGATCACGGATGGTCGGGTCTTGGAGGGTCGGGAGAGAGTCACGGATCGTCTAAGACCGACCGCGATATATTTATGCGACTCTTTTGAGTCGGTTAACAGGGTACTGCGAGCTCAGGTATATATATGTGATGAGTTGCATCGGGGTTGGTGCTTGATAATTCTTTCAGCGGGTGTTCCGGTGGGTGTTGGTCTGTGGGTTTGTAGATTGTGGAGTGGGTTTTCTGTTGATGTCGAGTGTGTCTGCATGCATGAGTGATCACGACATGTATGTGTCATTGCCCACTAGAAAGTATTCGTTTAATTGATCGATACGTATATTTTCATAGGGCAATTGCGCGGTGCAATTCAACCTCAAAGGTATAGCGTAGTCGAGGGGGCGACCGGCGTAGGTTTTGGTGTGACCTCGTTTTGTAAGCTTTTGTCTTTAGATCTCTGTCCTCAGATAGCGAGGTGTCTATCGACGAACTAAACACAAGAGATAGAAGGGATGTTACGAAGTGATATATATTGCGTGAAAGGCTTGCCATGGTTGGACATCGGTGCGTTCACCCTACTGATTAGTACGCCAGAGTGAGCTCAATGGGAAGCATACAAATTCATATTCCCTACATTTCGAATGCACAACTCACTACAGGCGAAGAAAAATCCCACTGTATATACGCCGGCTGTATTGGCGGCCTTAAGGCAGTTTGACATCGCATGGACTGCTTTCGAGAATTTATATGTACAGGTAAGGAGTGACATTCTATTCTCTGTCTGTAGCACTGAGTCTTGTCGGCTGTAGAGTGTGTTGGGACAGTTATGTATGCCAGCACTTGTCAGGTATATGTAGGCGTGGAGGTCACACTTTTCTATGCGAAGCTGAAGACAATCAGTCGAGAGTAATCGTATATAGTTAAGATATGAAATTACTAAGTGTAGGTGGAGTCCCGGAGTTTGTCGACAGCGCCGTATCTGCGCTGCATTTCGCTCGTCGTTAACAGTATGCAAGATCAACAATATATATATATATACATGTCGAATCCTGACATGCACCTACTAGTATAACCCCTTTTAAGACCTTCCTTCCTCGGGTTACAGGCGGTTGTGCCCTGTCGCGGCAACGAGGACTTTGAAACGCGACAGGAGATCACCATCCTGTTCAGCGAAGGCGTGCTGCTCGGTTTAAGGAAGAAATACATCACACAGGTACAAGTTGTGCACCGGAGTGATCTAGCACACACACCAGCCGTCAGCTTGTCGTGTCATATTGTGAAGTTGCGTGTAAACTTCCTTCCTGCGTCCGTGTGTAGATCTATGGTTCAATGCGTGATAGGTGTATTGCGCTTCCGTTGAGCTCGGAATTGGAATTAGAATCGGCATTGGACCAGATTTTTTTGAGTGTGGTAAAACGTGTTCGGGGTTACTATGCAGCACTTCTCTGTAAAGTGTTATCTTGCACACCACTCGCAAAGGTTTGACGCCTTCGATCGTATCCATCTTTATTTACGTCATTGCAATTGTACTGCGCAAGTATCTTGTATTCCTTCGGCCAATTGCTCACACGTTCATATCGCATCTACGCTCGAATCCCTATCCAGACGGACATAGACGACTACGAGCCGATGGTCATGCAAGCAATCCCGCGCTTAGGAGTGCTTACTGGTATTCTGCAGAATCCTGAAGAATTGGTAAACTATAAATGGATGGCTGATTCAGGTATGACCCATGACTAGGCTGTTTTTGTTGTTCAGAGATTTGTCTATAAATAGCTGGCTGATTGTTCAGAGATTTGTCTATAAATAGATGGCTGATTCAGGTATGACCCATGACTAGGCTTTATTTGTTGTTCAGAGATTTGTCTATAAATAGATGGCTGATTGTTCAGAGATTTGTCCTTAAATAGATGGCTGATTCAGGTATGACCCAGGACTAGGCTTTATTTGTTGTTCAGATGGTTTTATAATGGTCTATTCAATACACTCAACAACATTCATATCATGGGTCTTCCCAGCCACTTTGCTCAAGTCGATATCCGAGCGGATGGTTGGCTTGGCCCCCGGCGACATCCAAAAGCTAGAGATCTACTTGGTAGAGGGTGTAGACGACGCACCAAAAGGCGACATGAGTGCAGAGAGAGCCGATGTAGGCCCAGTCACAGCGAAACCAGAAGTTCTGCACAAGCTGTTTGTGGACATCTCTCAAGTTGCCGATGATATGTGCCGGGGACCTAAGAACAAAGGGCATAGGCAAATCCTGAGGTATGGATGATTGTGCATGCGGCTCGGAGCGTGACTACGAGTATGTAGTGTGTGTGCTTGCGCATGTACACATGTTCAGAATGCACGTTTTGAGAGCGTGTTGCATTGCGTTTTAGCGACGATAAGTGTGGGCTTCGATGGTGGCCGTCCACAAATGCAAGGCAGAATTTGATTCATCATGCGAGCGATGGTGTTTCAGAAGCTATGTGCGTGTCGCCTCGACCGGTGTGGTACAATGCACCTCGACCGGTGTGGTACAATGCACCTCATCGTTAGCGCGAGCATTTCACTTCCCCGCACGTCCAATTCAAGTTATGTTCGTTTGTGTCTTCTGCGTTTGCACATGTGTATACATATGCTCCTTCTCACCCGCCTGCGTGTGTATGGCATCTGTTCCAGGCTAGGGCGGGCTGCTGAATGTGCGCCTGTGTGCTTAGAACGAATCGCTGAGTGCGTTAAGTTCTTCGTAGGTATGCGTGCGGCAGTCGAATGTACGCGTTTTTCAGCGCAAGTGTTCGTTCTTCATCGTCCGCAAGATGTGCTACCGGATAATCGGGTACTATTACTTGCATACTTGGCTATAGGTATACTTCAATTACACAGATTCTTTAACCACTCTGTCTCACATGACCCCATACCCCCGCGTATTTCCACAGCACCTTGTTCAAGATGTATCAGAACCAGCCAATTGACATCACTTCCGATGAGCCCGTAACTCGCATCTCAAATATTGACGATGTAGAAATCACAAATGACGATGACACAGATCCGTTGAATGACGGTATGTGCGTATGTAATCATCTAAGTATACTACTACTCCGTTTGTTTTCAGTATACTTTTCAGTATACTACTAAGACGTTCAACCAACAATACTACTAGTCCGCTT